CCCGAAATTCTTGACGCCAGCCCATCCAGAAACGATGTCCAGGCAAGTTGAAGAGAACAGGGAAGTGGGGGAGCAACGAGAGGGACAGCCGATCCGTGCAAAGGATGAGGCGGAAGAGGAGGCCAGATGGATAGATGAGGGGGTGGCGAGGAACCGAGCGAAGGAGGGATGAGGAGAATGATGACGCTGGGTGGATGGTTGAATGCCGCTGGGATGCCTCTTGGAAGCCTTCTGGAAGCCTCTTCGGGCGTCTTGGGGGTCTCTTGGCGGTCAATGGGGGCTCTTGGGTGTCTTGGGTGCTTCGGGGGGGCCTCTTGAGGCCGCTTGGGATCCTCTTGGGGGGCCAATTGCAGCTCTTGGGGAAGCCGTGGACAGCATATCTGATGGCATAATACATCGTTCGATCCTTCACAGCTGAGCATCCAATCCTCGTACGTTTGTCCCCGCTTGCTCCTCCCTTTCCTCCTCGTTTCTCCCCGCGTGCTCCTCGTCGTCGAAACCGCCACCGTCATTGTTCAGCGACAGCGAGGAGTAGGAGGGAACGCGATGACGAGGGCGCTCTTGGGAGCCTTAGGAGCGGGAGGAGGAGGACGAGGAGAAGGATGAGGAACAAGAAATATGACGAACATAAGAGCCTCGTAGGATGTCTGTTGGGAGTTGTTGTGGAGGCCTCTTGGTGCGTCTGGGGGGCATCTTGGGGAGGAGGAGGAGGAGGGCGAGCAAAACTGCCAGCGGTCTCTTGACTGCCTTTCGGAGCCTCTTGGGATATCTCTTGGGATATCTCTTGGGCGCTTCTTGAAGGCATCTTGGGACGTCTGGGGGGTCTCTTGGCGATCCTGGGGGGCTCTTGGGCGTCTTGAGTGCGTCCGGGGGGGGGCCTCTTGGGGCCGCTTGGGGCCCTCTTGGGGGCCTCTTGGAGGCCTCTTGGGGCCATCTTGGCGCCTTTAGGGGCCTCCTGGGCGCCCTTTGGGGCCATCTTGGAAGCGATCGATCAAAGAAGGGGGGTTCCCTAATTAACCCTGCCCCTGGGGAGCTCCCCAAATAGCCGCCTGGACCCCTCTTGGGGCGCTCTTGGAGCGCTCTTGGGCGCTCTTGGGGCCGTCTTGGGGCCCTCTTGGGCCCCTCTTGGGGCCTCCTTGGCCCCTCTTGGAGCCATGTTGAGGCCTCAGATGGCCATCGGAAGCGAAAAGGCGAGAAGCCGAAAATCATTGGTTTTCCTTGGGTTCTTGAAGGATTTTGGCTTCTTGGGGGGCCTCCTTGGGAAGATAATTGGCCTCTTGGAGCTGCCTTGGAGCGTTCTGAGAGCGTCTTGGAGCATCTTCGGAGCCATCTTGCGGCATCTTAGGCTATCTTGAGCCATCTTGGAAGTCATCTTAGACTATCCGAGGCGCTCATGGAGCCATCCTGGGCCATCTTGGACACTCTGACCGCTCGCGACCGGGCCCGTCCAGGTCCAGGGGAGGGGGTTAGGGGGAGGGGTAAACCCCTCCCCGAAGGGGAAGAAGGAAAGATGGAAGAGGAAACTCCCTAAACCACCTACGCCCAGAGGGCTGGTGAGACTCCCCCAACACATGAGCACTCGCCACATCCATTTTCAGCCACTTGGGCCTCATGTTCGGCCGAGTCCAGTTGTCCCGGTATGTGCGCAGCAGCGTGAGTGACGACTCGGTCTCACCCAGTCGGAGCGGCGCCATTACATGCAACGATGAGGCATCGCACACAGTATTCAAGCGTCGTTCGCCCAGGAGATGGTAGGGGAGTTCCTTAACATCCATAACTAGAAATTTTAGGGGTGATTATAGAGTCGGAGGCGCACTGTACCTGTATTCCTGGTTGTTTCCTAGACTCGCACTCGTCGCGATGAAAATTCGTGGCCTGTCCGATCGCCTCGGGACTCGCGTTAGCATGTCGTAGGTGTCGGAGCGTCGTCGCCGTCGTCGCATGTCCTAGGTTCTCGTGTAACCTCCCGAGGGCTGCCTGAAAGCTATGAGGACGTCGGGGACACACACACACACACCTTTACCATCCTCCTCGTCCTCATCCACCGCGCATACCGTAGCCTCCTCTCCCGCTTCTTGAAGCACACAAGCCCTTGAGAGCACTTGTGAGATCCTCCTAACCAGCTTACCGGGGAACACTTGAGCCCACCAGGGAAAGGACATGCCTAGACCAGGCAGTGGGCTGCCACCCTCCGTCCGGATATGGGCGTGGTCGCCCTGGCACGGTAACGTCAGCTCACCAGCCACCGCCGCCGACGACGTCATAATCTGCCAGCGTTTGCTCAGGAGCTCCTGAGATCGGATGTCGGAGACCCACCCTGCACCCACTCGTCACACCCGTAGAGACCGTCGGATTTTGCATGAGTCGCCTCGTAGCTGGGAGACTGTAGGTAGCCGCTGTCGGGGGGGCCTTGAAAATAGAGTGCCGCCCCTGCTCCATCCGGTACTCCGCCAAATGGACACACTCCAACATAGCGTTTCGCTTCCCGGAGTTCCCGAAGATGGGTTCGAAGGTTCTGTTGTTTCTGATCCAGAGTTTCGTTCTGACGAGCCGTGAGTTTGTTACAAGGTAGGACATGGTGATGCAGAACGGCTTGGTCTTCTGATCGATTCCTGGAGTTTTTGCATCTCCATGGGTACCCGAGCATCCAAATCGCATTCCGTATCAAATGACCCGCAGCTGGGGGCTAGCGGGCAGACACGAGGAGGTGAGAAGATCTCCATCACGCCTGGCACCCTGCAGCACCCGATGTTGAGGACGTGGATTTCCTCGCTGATCTCAGGGCGTCCGTCCAGCCCTACTGAAAAGATTGGCCCAGCTCCTCAACCCTCATCCTCGTCTCGTCCACGGTCGTGTCCGGCTCGACGGCGGTCTCGAACTCTTGCCCGAGCAGTTCCAGTTCGTAGGGACCACTCCCAGTGGCCTCCCGGATGGGCACGGACACGCCAAGCCTGCCGAGCCACAGGGAGATGTTGTTCATGTTGAGCGTTGCCTGCAGCATCTTCATCACCTGCTTACTGACCAGTAGTCTGGCATCGCCATCGATGACGTAGCACAGAATCTTCACGCGCTTGCCGATCTTCGGGAAAGCCACTGGATCCAACACGCCTTCTGCGCTCGCCTGATCTTGCCGTCGTAGCTCTTGAAACGAGTGGTAGGGACATCCTCCCACTCCCGCTTCAGGCCTGTTCCGTGCTCGTGCTTCCCCGACGTAGACGTTCCAATCGGGGCCATGCCACAGCCCGAGTCAAGGGCACCGCATCCAGGTCCATGGCACGCGCATGCGGGGATCTCCTGGTCCACGACCTCGTCCTCGCCGATCTCATCGACCTCGTCGTTGTCGACGTCCTGCTCTGCTTCACGTCGGTCATGAGCCAGACGCCGGAAGCTCTCCTCGTTCGTCAGCTTCGTAATCAGGGTCGCCTCACCATCCTGGGACCATGACGCCAAGAGAACATCAAATATGTCCCAGATTTCGGGATCCTCGCCCTCGTCGTTCTCGGCCAGCGCCTTGTCTTGGATCATCAGCACCTGGGCGACCCCTTGAGGCACGGGCCTCTGCTGAAACGGACGTCATCATCGTCGAGGACTTGCCGCTCTGGGAAGATGGCGTCGATCCCGCCCTGCCTCGGCTCGGACAGTGCTTGCTGAAATGACCAATCTCACGAAACAGACATGTTACGATCCTTCAGCCACCTAAAGTTCGAAGCATCTCTACTCGGGAGCGCCCCGCTGGAGCTTCTCTCGCGTCATCGTTATCCTCGTCTCCTTCCGCGTAGCCAGAATGCCGATCGCGTCTTCCTCGTCGATGGGGGCGTCGTCCTCAAGCAGCTCGTTGATTTCGGCCTCCATCTCTCCGTCCGCGGCCAGGGCCGCCTCTGCCACTGTGTCAAGGACTGAGACTGCTCTGGCGACTCGTCCCACACCGTCGCCTCGTGTACCTGTGATGTCGGCATCTGCTTCGGGTAGGCTGCGCGAATCGCCGCTGCCATCTCTCCGAAGCGCCACTGACGCAGGCTGGCCGCGAGCACGACCGCACGCCGTTCTATGCCAAGCCGGGCCCCATGCGGGAGCAGGAAGCTTTGAGCCACCGTCGGCAGCTCCACTCCTTCCTGGCGTTGGCGACGCGGCACGAGCACGTGCAGAGTATGCCGAAGATGTCTCGCCTCGCTCGATGGTGAGTCTAAAGACGCTCTCGAGGGCACCTTCTACTCTGTCTCTGGCCCCCTTGTCAGGAAACCGTTCACCCAAGGCACGAAACATGAGCTCAGCACCACCTCCTTGCTCCAACTCGACCAGCTCGAGACGGACCGAGGGCCTCGGCTGGAAGACCACGTCGGACCTCGACACGTCGACTGCCAACTTCGCTCCGATCCATCCCCACCAGCTCCGGTGCTCTGCTGAGGCATCGTTTCTTGTGGCAGACAGCCTGCGCCACTGGCCTGCCAGTCCTCCTCCTTGGACTGTTCCGTCGGCCATCGTCCTCGCTGGAAGACTCGACCTGCTGCCCGCACACTCTCTGACCGATCTTCTCCCTGAGCCTTTCTCTTTTCCGCTCTCACGGACCCCGCGGGCGAGCCTCCTCATAGGCTTCTCAGCTTTGTCTGAACCAGAAACGCAATCGCGAGCACGCAGCCCGCACGGGCCAGGGAACCCCTCGTCTCCTGCACTCCCAGAGCCTCAGGCAATACACTAGGATCCACAGCTCGCATTCCCCACCTTGGCCCCCCTCGTTTCCCCCCCCTTCCACTGTCACCGTGCCCCTCGATGGGCTCCCTCTCCTTACCCCCCTGCCCTCTGCTCCCCCCTCCCCCATCCCCTTCCGGTCCTCAATCCCCCTCCCTCCTCTCCGCTCAGCGCGCCCCCTCCCATTCCTCCCCTCCCCCCAATCTCGCCTCTCCCCACCCGCCCCGCTCCCTCCGCTCCCCCTGCCACACCCCCTGCCTCACCTCTCGTTCCCGCGCCCTCCTCGTCCCCCTCTCACGCGCCCCCTCCCGCAGGCGCACCACCACATGGCCTACTGCCAGTACATCGCCGAGGACGCCCAGCAGCACCTCGGGGTCCTCACCCGCCAGCGCGAGGAGATGGACCTCATGGCGCCACCCTCGCCGCCCCCGGCTGGGCTCGCCCCTGCGAGGAAGGGGGGGGAAGGGGGGGAGGGCAAGCTAGGTGCGCTCGCGTCATGTCTGACGTCCTACCCCTCCCTCCCATTCCTCCCTTACCATGGCGTAGACATCCTCTCTATTCGCACAGTTGGATGTCGAGCAGGGCAATGATCGCGAGAGGGTACGCGATGCATGGTAGATCGCGGCATGGCATGGCGTAGAAGGGCACGGCAGAGCGTAGCATGCCATAGCATGGCGTGGCATTGCGCAGTGAAACATTGCATCACAAAGCATTGCAAGGCAAAGCATGGCATCGCACAGCGACGCAGAACACAACACCGCACAACATGTCATGGCATGGCGTCGGGTTCCTTGGAGGGTAAGTGGATCGTCTTCGAGAGGTCTAGGCCGGTCTGGAGTCGTGGCTCCATGTCTAGCTCCTTGGGCTCCCCGACAGGCTCCACACCAGGCAGGGCTGATGGAGAGCACCCGCTGGCTCTGCTTTCAACCTCGCCTTCTCAGAGCAGAAACGGGGCTCCCGCTTGGTACTTCCTGAAAACACGAATGCCCCAAAAAGCCGCAATCATCAACGAATCGACACCGAATGTGTAATCACTTCCGATGTTTTTTTTCCGGAAGGGGGGATTTTTTAGATTTTGGCTTATTTGGAAGGACCGAAAACGCCAACGCTGCAGCGGGAGCACGGTTCGGAACAACCAGAGGGGCAGAAATGGAGCCAGCGCTTCAGCAGGAGTAGCATTTTGAAACAAGACCGAGCGAAAACCCATTTCCCGGGAGTTTTGTGTGCAAAAGAACAGTACGCGGAGGGGGCCTGAAATCTTCCAGACGTCATCAGGTGAGAGCGTAGAGTAGTATTCATACTGTGCAAATGTGGCGAGAATGCGGGAGGGCGGAGGAGCGAGGGCGGAGGAGGGATGAGAAAGAGGAGGAGAGGGATCAGGAGGATCAGTTGTTCGTTTTCATTCAGGAGCAGAGGGCACGCCGACCAGGTCGACGGGCCCGATGGCCTCCAGCTTCTGAAGCTGGCGGCCAGACTAAATGATCGCTTTGGATGCGAGACATCATCGCGCCCTCAGAGGGAACATCGACATACTACTGTTGTGTTGTACGTAGCCCCTCGCAGGCTCGAGGGGACAAAGTACCCCACCTATTCCTTGGGGTTGTCGCTCGCCGCCGCCCAGTTTGGGCACCCGTATGGTAGCGGAGCGTCGTGGCATTACAACACCACGGACGCGAGATTCCAGACTTACGAGCAGGGCTGCACCTGGCTCGTGGTGAGTACGGACACCAAGAAGGGCTGGAAACACATAGTGAAGTGCTTCATTGTGCAAAACAGACTTTGCGGGTTCTGGCACCAGCTGGGACAGTACCTACCCACGGTGAAACAGCGAGGTCGACTCGATGGCTCGAGCTGCTGGAGCAGACCAACGTGGATTGATACGAGAAGCACGAGAAGCCAGAGAAGGAGCATATATATATATATATATATATATATATATATATTGCAAGCGGAAGCGGCTCGCGCAGTTGAGGGCGCTGCAGGCGTGAAAGTTGCGGCTGGGAAAACGGCAGCAGCGGCGGCGGCGGCCGACGCTGAGAAGAATACACCTTTCGAGACGAAGATCACGAAGAGCCTTGACAGGGCCGACTGCAAGCAGGAGTCGTGGTCCGACTGGTGCTTCTTGTTCAAGAGCTACGTAGCCTCACAAGACGAGCGCACGATTGAGCTGATGGACAGGTCGGCCACTCAGGATGAGGAAGTACTGATAGGCAGGACGTTCGCCGACGAGAAGGTCGGTCAGTGCAGGCAAGCGAGAACCCTCCTCCACCTGCTGATTGTCAGCATGACGATGATGTTGCGAGGCTTCAAGCTGATCAAGAATATCGAGTCGGCGAACGGGCTCGAAGGATGGATGCAGCTAGTTATAGAGTGCGAGCCGAGAGCTTGCGGTCGCCAGGGTTCGTTGCTGAACCAGCTAGTATGCACGACGTTCAAGGCAGGGGTTGGACACCGCGAGGCGATCGAGACGTGGGAGCGAGAGGGCGTAGAGTGCGAGGAGCAGGCCGGTGACATTTTGCCTGAGTCCGTCCTGGCGAACGCGCTAGTCCAAGGGCACAGGGGCGAAGTTCTGAAGTCGCACCTCATGCCGGACGCCAACAGATTGGTCATATACCGATACGTACGAAAGGAGGTCATGGACTACATCGTGAATCAGCGGGCGCGGCAGCGAGGTGATGATCAGGCCAAGCCGATGGACGTGGATGCAATTCGTGCGTGGCATAGAGGAAGCAAGTCGCGCAACGACAAGAGGCAATCTGGCAAAGGCAAGGGCAAGAGCCTGGGCGACAAGGGCAAGTGGAAGGGCGGCAAAGGCAAGGACGACAAGGGCAAGACGAAGGGAAAAAAGACCAAGTGGCGCGACTGGCGCAATATTGCTGGACACACGGCGGACACGTGCAGGAAGAAACGCAGGCGCGACCAGCGGAGGCCCCAGCAGCGCAGCCAGGCGCACGCACTTGTTCTACAGCAGCAGCAGCGCCCTCGAATTGCCGCGCCGGGGGCGACTGGACCAGCGACGAGTGGAGTGGACAGGGCACAGTCCGCAGCCTGGGCCCGAACGACTCCGCCTTGGTGGCGAACGCCATCCCAGTCTCGACGCTGGCCCAGCACCACCTGGACATGGTGAGAAGGCTAGCGCAGTCCACTAGTGGATCGGCTCCGAGTTCAGCACCTCCGAGCGCGACGGCCGCGACGCAGCTGGAGCGGACCATGGGGGTGGCCGCCGCCGTCGGAGAGGAGCGAGCGCGTCCGTGGCCAGACACGGACGAGGAAGACCACATCTACGCGAGCACGCTGGCGTCGGCTACTGACGGCTTCCAGGGCAGCGACGAGTGCGACTACCTGATGATCGACAGAGGGGCAGGCATCACTACGTGCCCGCCTGCATTTGCGGAGAGGGGGCCAGTGGGCTCTGGGCGATGGATCAAGTCAAGGGGGCTGCCACCGTTTGACGCGGCCGCTGGCCAGAATATACAGCACGAAGGTGCATGCGAGGTCAGCCTCGTCGCCGCGGCGACGAACCAGAAGTGCGAGATCGTGAAGTTCAGATCCCAGGTTGCGAACGCGAAGTGCCCGATCGTCGCGCGGCAGGACTTGCTGGGGGCGGGCTTCGCGCCGAGGTTCGGCGTCTACGCGGGCGCGCTAGAGGCGCCCGGCGGAGCGTTGTCCCCGCCGACCCGGCAGGCGCGCATCTGGCACTTGCAGGTGAAGCGCGCGGTCGCGGCCAGCGAGCTCGCGATCGTGATCGCGACGCTCAGAGAGCCAGCCGCAGCTCAACCTGCGCCAGTCGATCGAGAAGGTCGAGAGCCCGACGGAGCTCAAGGTGAAGCCCGGGAAGCAGCTGGGGGGGGCCGCGAGCCCATCGGCGCCAATTGCGGCGGCAGCCGCAGCGGCGGCGGCCCCGGCGCAGGCGAGGTTGGTCAGCGACCACCGTGAGATCGTCGTCAGGCGGATCGACGCGATCGAGTTGTGCGACAGTCCTGAAGACCGGGCTGCGCAAGCGAAGGGGGTGCCAGTTATGCCGCCGTTCGCCGAGAGACAGATGCACCGACTCACTCATTGGCCCTGCCGATCGCGGTGCAAGGCGTGCGCGGTCGGGGGAGGCCGCGAGGGCGTCCGCCGTAGGACAGGCCAGGAGCGTGACGCGCTGCAGGTCTGGTTTGACTGCTCGTGCCCAGGCGTGCGCAACATAGATGGCGCGGTGGCGCTGCTGGTGCGCCTGGACTTCGAGTCAACAGCGATCGAGAGTGCCGACGTGATGGAGAAGGGCACGGTCGACTCCGGCATCAAGGTCCTGGTGCAGGCCCTCCAGTCCTGGTGCCACAAGCGCGACGCGTTGCCCAGTGACCAGGATAATGCGGTTTCAACGCTGGGCAGAGCCGTCGCTGCGGAGCGCGGCGAGGAGATCGAAGCAGCAAGGGGCAGGGTTCAGCAGCTCGTCCACACCTGGGCGTGCACAGTCAATGCGCACTACAAGTTCGAGCTGGGGCCTGGCGAGATTGATCGTATTCCAGATTTCCAGGTTTTCCAAGTCTCCCGCGCAGGCTCCAGGGACGAATGGTCGAGCGCATTCCGTCGCGCAGGTTCTTTGCGTGATGTTCGTGGTGCATATTTCGCGCGTCGGAGCGCCCTCGAAGATTCCAAGCTGCATGCTGTGCTGCCCTTGGGGAGTCCGCGAGTCGCAGCTGCCATGGCGCTGTTTTCGAGGTAGCCCCTTAGAGTGCCGTTCGCGGGCGCAACGCGCGGCGCGCGCTGCGCCCAATCGCGCGCGGCGCGGCGCGTGCATCAGCCGGCCGCGCCCGTCGGGCCGCCCGGGCATTATTCCTGGATTGTGGAATGCGTCAGAAAACGCTTCCGTTTTTTTCGTTTTCCGCAAGCGGTTCCGGAATTTTTCAGAAAGGAGCCCCGCAATTTTCAAAGAGCAGTTCTGAAGGGTGGAAGGAGCCCGCCGCGCAGGACATCTGAAGAATTCTGAAATCCGGAATGTTTCCAAATGGGTTCCGGCATTTTTCAAAATTGACCCCGGAAATTTTGAAAAACGGTTCTGGTTTTTTACCTTGGCAGCGAAGATTGATCGGTTTCTAGTGGTTTCAAAAGAGAGAGCACCATGATTCCCCAGGGGGGTCCGGGCAGGATCCGGGGAGAATCTGCGGAAGTTGTTTTAGCAAACAGTTACACACTTCGTGGTCTTCGAGTTCCCAGAACTCCACTCCTGGGCCACATTTTGAATGCTGAGGCAGGCTGATGCTGAGGCTGAGGCAGGCTGAGGCTGATGTTGGCTGAGGCCGAGGCTGAAGGCAGACTGAGGCTGAGGCTGAAGCAGGCTAAGGCTGAGGCTGAGGCTGAGACAGGCTGAGGCTGAGGCAGGCTGAGGCTGAGGCTGAGGCTGATGCAGGCTGAGGCTGAGGCA